CCTTGAACAATTTCGCTAACAACAGATAATTGGCAAACATCAGCAGCACCAAGGTTACGATGTGCTGCCAGTCAGTTGTCAGGACTAGCATCCAAAACTGCGCCACAATCAGTGCACCTTCGAATATGCACATCCCATTGATGAGAGTACAAGGTCGCCCACAGAACATCTGAAGATTCGAGTAAAAACCTCCAAAAACGGAGCAAAATTGGAGCAAACTCACATAAAACTTGTCGTGTTCAGGACATCCGGGTTCAGCGGCGACTGTTTTCAACGATGCTGATCCGCGAGCTTTGTAGCACTTCCCATCCGGCATCTGTACAGTCTCTCCTTCAGAATAGAGACACTGCGCTACCCATGGCGACGGAGCCCAGCTAGAATTACGGTTATTTAGAGTGCAAGAAAGCACAGCAAACCGCGAACGCCAAAACAGCTCGCAGAAGTTGCCATTTTCATCCAAAAACCCGGATTTACGGTAAATTCAAAGCTTAACACATTGATCTTCTCTTCACGCAGTGCTTGCTCGCGTTCAAAAGTAATGTCTAGTACAATCTCTAGCATATTTCTTGCCTTCAAAGCACACAAGAACAAAAAGCACGTTTTCACTTATCACTCAAAGACTCTGTTCCACAAACTCAAAAGGTTTTCTAGATATCTAATAAAAAAGCAGATGCGAAAATGATGCAATCTGATTTTCCAACCTTCTCAACGAGGGATCGTATAAAATTCAACATGCACTTGCAAAAATGCCGCTAGTCCCAGATCAATTGACGCCGTATGAAATTCAACATTCACTTACTTCGCCTGTCCAGTCTGACCAATCTTCGGTCCTTCTATCTGATCCCAAGTGCCCAGATGGACGGCACTCCTGAAAGCAGATCTTGAGCTATGGCAAATCACAACTTCAACTGTTAAGAGTCTCTCTAGTCCCCGTCACTCTTTGGTCCAAATAGAGTAACTTAGATTTGAATTGAAGGATTGTTGCGAGAAAACACTTTCGATTAAAAGACTGAAC